TACGTACGTACGACTCTCTCTTCTCTCCTCTCTCTCTCTCTCTCTCTCTCTCTCTCTCTCTCTCTCTCTCATTCTCCGATTGTGCGATCTGATTTATACAGCAGCCCCGCTAAATAAAATAGCTTAGCATGCCGCTTAACGCTGGTTAGCCGTCACTTAACGGCGGTAACCGTCATTTTCGGCTCGCAACACTGTCGAGCGAAGGCATCACGCCACGTTCCGCTGGAGAAGCGCCTGCTCTCCCGCGCCGTAATTACCTCAATTATTCCTCTCGAAGATACGGCGAAACTGGATTTGCGAAGCGCGGTCCGTGCTCGCCTCCACGCCGATGGCCGACATAATTTCGTATTTATACGAAGTGCCTCGCATCCACACCGGATGTTGATCCTCGGCTGTCGATGGTCGAAGCCATAATTGCGATAAAAACATGTTACGATTTCACGATATTATTAATAGCATCCGCTAAAATTTCGGAGGCACGACCGATTTGTTATTATCTATTATTGGACAGTTTATTATTCAATTGGAGGATTTCGAAACTTAAAGATCCTCTCGAATTGTCAGGTCAGTAGGCGAAAATAGACGGGTCTTTTAGCGGGAACTTAATTCGAAAGTGACTTGACAAGACGTTGAGGATTAAAAGGCTATGATAAATGTTGATCTCGCCTAATAAATTTGCCTTAAGGAAAAATAGATCCGAGATCTCTCGGAGGATTTCCAGTTGACGTGACGTCGAGTAATGGTTAGGAAATTTAAACGTCACAATGATTGTGTTATACGTATAGGTGAAGTCTCTCGATCTTTCTTCTCTCTGTTAATGCATATGTCTGTGATTTTTTTACGAGGAGTTAATGATTCACGGTGATGATTAAATGTAAATTCTATCGAACAGCATCGAGTATATTCCTTTATAGTATAATAGAAAATTTATATGTATATTCGGACTGCAACGAACTAGATTTATATAATTTTAACGAATCTTTATCTATCAGTGCTTGCTTCAACGTGTTATTTAGTACTTTCGAGAAATGCACTAATCGACACAGCCACGACCAAAGCCAATTCAGTTAACGCGCTTTATGACGTCACTTTTGCGTCATGCCGTCAGAATGCTTGCGCTATTATATACTTCCTCGCAGTTTCCGACGGAAGCGCGTGCCTCGTCGTCATTCTTTCTCGGACATTTAAGATTCAACTTTCCTATGATTTTAATCGTCAAGAAGAAATGAAGCTTTCACCTTTCGCGCGGATAACTGCGAAGCAGTTCGAGAGCTTTGCTCTCGTGCATTTACTACGTGCAATTTCAATTATCGTCGAACAGAAAACTGCTGCAGAAAGGCTGCTTCTGGCTGATACACCTTGAAGAAAACTTCTCTTTTGAAACGTCGGAATTCCGCGCGGCATCTGATCAAACAATTCAGACCCCCTGCCGATTCGATGCTTCTGGATTTCTGACTTCTGCTGACTTCGCGGGGATACTTGCGTATGTTCGCGAAGATATAGCACAAATGCTGTTATCTCTTCGGGAAAGTTGCGCGTCACGGAAGAAACCTTGTCTCCTCGAGAAAGAATTATGAGGTATTGAATTTGAAGTTTGAAGTAGGAATTATAGCACGTTGAATACAAAGGGGGTAGAACGGAAACGCGTGGGGCTAATTAAAAGATTACGGCTCGTTGGGGCGGCGGTATCTTCTCTGCGAGATCTCGCATGTGATATAAGAAACGATTTGATTATTGATAACCGTGTTAATCCAGTCTTGCGGCTATAATACCGTGTCATTGAATTTTCACGTCTATTACAGAATGAAGAAATCGGTACAATGTCGATGAGTATTGAAATTTCGATGCTATAGATACACGAGGACTTTACATGTTTGCGACAGTAGAAACAAGCTGCGGAAATAGTCCATATGAACCGCTTTAGGTAGCGGTAGATCTAAAAGTAGGCCTTATAAATTACTGTAAATTTTTCAATCGTTTATAGCGCCTCGCAATGCCTTGTTTTCACTGTCGTAAATTCAATCCGCTCAATTTGCTTTACGCCATAGATGGATTTCGCAAGTCAGTGCTTGCTTATTCATTTCACTCTTGTTCAACGACATTTTACATTTTTGTAAAATATAATTTTCCTGTATCTGTAACATCGAAAGGACTCACCGAGGTTATACTGATTTCGATCCTTGATCTCTTCTGAACCGTGATGAGGAGCCGCCATGATGGCGCGATCGCTGTCACGCTTCTTCGTGGTCCTTGTCGCGCGAAGTATCTTCATGGTCGCCACCATCGTCGCGATCATCGTCGTCGTCGTCGTCGTCGTCGTCGTCGTCGTCGTCGTCTTCGTCGTGATCTTCGTCTTCGTCGTCATGTTCGCGATCGTCTTGCTCGTCGGTTAGGTTTAGCCATCGTCTCCGTCGTTGCCCTCGTCGAGGTCCGCGCCGTTGGTTGGGTGTCGTCGGAAGAGAGGTGGGCCGTTCTTGCGCGCACACACCCGATCGCTCATGCACACGCACGTACACACACACCTACAATCTCTCCATCTCTTCTTCTCGCCGCGTCCCTCCATCCCACGGGGAAAAGGGGCGCTATATCGGTGGTATTTTGGTTTTGGCTCGACTCGGCCCGCGGCAGTTCTGGGAGTGGAGTTCTAAAAACAGCAGAGGTAAGTCTTGCCTGCCGCTGCCTGAGCAGCTGCCCGCTTGCTTCTTCTTCTTCTTCATCATCACCATCATCATTATCGCCGTCGGGCACGTCGCGGCACCCGCGGTCTCGCGTTCTCCATTGTCGCGCGGTACCATTGTCATCCTCGTCGTCGTCGTCGTCATCGTCGTCGTCGTCGTCGTCGTCCTTCCTCGTGCATCATCCACCTCGTCATCGGCGATATAACGATGGTCCCCATGGGACTTCGGATAGCGTGCGCAAATTCGCCATCTTCGCGCTGTTACTTTCGCCCCGAAGGCCGCCTCCCTCTCTTTCGTCCTTCTCCTTCTTCTTTCTCCGTTCTCTTCGTCCTGAGAGAAGAAACCGCGACACCGATCGAAAACCGAGCCCGCGGCACTTTTGCGACTACCCGCGGCGATCGCTTCGCCGCGCCTCTTATAATACACACCCGCTCTCTCGCTTCTGATGGCGGTTTACTAATTCAGCTTACTACCCAGAATCCACCCGGTCAACCTTCTTTTAGGCACCACCCTGCCTGCGGCACGAGCGCACCTCTTCTCGCCCTGCGCGCATCCCGGTATCCATCCGGATTTATTTCTTCGCGGAGCGCGGAAATTATTTTTGGTGTCTTTTCCCGCGGTTTGTTAATATACATCCGTTGGTTCGCTCGCTTCTCGATCCACTTCTCATTCTCGTTCTCTCCCTCTCTCTTTCTTCTTCTCGCGCACCCATTTATTACTCTTCGGTGAAGATCACTCTCTTTCCATCGTAGCGGCCGCTAAAACCGTAACGACACGTCGCATCTCGCAATCGGTACACGACTACTCGCTACTTTTAGTCGCTTTAGTCGCGAGCACTGTGTACGCTTTCATCCGGCTGACAGAATTTTCCAGATCCGGTAGCTGTCCGGTCGAATTTCAGCGGACCCGCGGATTTTTCGACGGCGATTCGGCTCGACCCTATCCTCTTTATCTTTATCCTCGCCTTCGTCTTCTTTCCTCCGTCGCAGCAGCGGATGTTGTTGTTCGTACGCCTAGACTACTCGGCTCGTGATGTCATGGAATCGTTGCTTCATCATCGTAGTTTTCGACGGAAGTTCTTGGAATCCGTGAAGTGAAGCCTACTCGCTGACGTGGAGTCTCACGTAGAGGGCTTTGCCATCGTGTTGGACGGACGTCTGTGGGTCTCGGTTGCCAAATCCAATCGCGATCTCTCATCTCCTTTACCGTAACGCGCTCGATATCGAGTACGATAGATAACAGGTCGAACCTGTCTCTCTCTCTCTCT